TATATATATATATATATATTACACATATATACACACACAGTATATATTATTTAATTTTTTTTATAATTCGGGAATGGTAAAGAGTTATGTGTCATTAACACACATATCCCCAAAACTATAAACATACATCTATCCTGCTTTGGGTCACCTATTCTGGCAAAAAAATGTCAGTGGTTAAACGTTTGATAAGCAAAACCCAGTCCATTACAGGTTCACAATAGTAATAACTGTAAGAATATGTATTTGGGAGACTCCTACAGTCCAGTGCCCCCTGCTCTGATTAATTAATTACTTTATCCATTAATTTTGTAGGATATATTGGCTTGTATTAATAGAGTGAAGAGCATGCATGCTTGCAGGTCTCTAATTATAGGGATTCCAGCACATATTACTTGTGTGCTTGGGTGGTACTGTTTAATGAATGGGGGAACCATAAAACTAAAAAAACTTTCCTCATTTCAAAACAGCAAAGCACCTAAAAGACCAGGTTATGATTATATTAGTATTTGGGCCGGTGTCAGCGGGCTTTGATGGGTAAATGCAGCGTGCTTTCAACATCAGCTTGATAAGATTCTCAGATCACTCAGAACTAATTTCAGGTGCATTTAACCTTTAATTGTCCTGTATTTTTACTTATTTTGGCTGCTTTTGAATAGACATAGACCTATATGGGAAGCAGTTCTAAAGTGAACAAAAGCCCATGGACAATAACAGTGTGTACTCAAGTATGTGTTTTAGGTGCCCAGCACCATTCAACAAACAGTTCCTACAACATATGCAAACATTGATTCATCCCCATCTCCCTTTTGCAGAAGATTGCTTAGGAAATTAAAAACATAAGCTCCAAGTGCTCTGTACACTTGGCTCTTGTATATTCTACTGGGGTCTTTTATTTTTCTTAATAAAATAAGATAAAGTTCTAAAAGAAAAATAAAATTAATACCAACCTGTATGTTTTACCAGATTTGCCTCTTCAGAAGACAATACAAAGCAACTCAGGATCCCAGCCTGTGGGCACCATCACCAGGTCACCCTCTATGGGTACTCAGCCTCAGCAGATCATTATCAATGCTTCTCATTCCAATGTAGGAGCCAGTGCTGAAACCCGTACCAGGCCAAATTCACTGTATGATGCTCTACCCATTTTTAGTAGACCCGTGGATTATAGAAGATTTTCGGCTGCCAGTTCAATTGCTTTGGAGCCCAGAGAGCTGATAACCAGAAACAATTCAACACTGAAATCTCCGATTTCTGCACCTCCATCTATTTTGGTGAAGCCTGACACACCTAAAAGTGGCGTTGAAAAGGTAAATACTGTAAACATTTTGTAAGGAGTTTATCTAAAGTAAATATTCCATAAAGAGGCTTCTTGTTCAAGATCTCCCTTCACATTTACTTATTTCTGTGAAAAGTAAAAGATTTTAAAATGAACACTGTAAATGTACATACTGTATACTTGTATGGGTATGCTGCCCACTTCATCTCCTTGAAACACATATAGCAATGGCAACTGTCTCCCCCTGACTAAAAAACCTGCAAGTGAACCTAGCCATGGGGTAAAGTGGGTGACTGCCATTGCTCTGTCATCTACCTGTGCAGGCCATCAGTGGTTCTGCCTGGAGTGCACACATATACAGACAGCGGTGTATTTAACATTGGTGCTGCCCTAGGCAATGCAGCAACGCCGCCCCCACCCCCCAGACTACGAATCTGCCGCTCCAGGCAAACGCCTTGTTTGCCTCGTGGCAGATACGCCCCTGTATACAGATCAGTAGCTCTGAGCACTGACAACTTGATGTCAACATATATTGTGGTCAGAGCTGTCAGCGAAAGTGTGAGTGTATAACACAGCTGCTCCCTGCCCAGTTAAAGGTGAGTATACAAGGGCTAGATTTACAGTTATGTTGAGCAAGTGTTAGGGTTAGGGATTAGAGGGGTTTAGTTCAGGTTTAAGGGTTAAGGTTAGGATTAGGTTATAGAAGGGAAAGTTAACTTTAGAGCTCAGGGTAAGTGTCCGGGTGATGTTATGTTTGAACATGTGCTACTGAACTATGTAAACAGCAAAAACTATCTTCCTAAGCTAAGATAAAACCCCCTTGAAAGAGAATATATATTGTATTTGTAAATATTTTCTACTTTCTTACTGTCTGGATTAAGACATATTTTTGTTATGTAAATCTGAAATATTGAATATTATGTTATGTAGAATATGTATTCTCATTTTCAGCCAGTGGTTGACTTTTATTGCTTTAATGTATTTTTATGCTTCTATAAGTTTGTCGGGCTATTCTGAACCACTGTATGGAAAAGCCTGTGTTTACAGAGCTCAACAGCTCAAGCAGCAATGTATACAACTGAGTAAAGCAGAGATGTGATGTATACTCCACCTTCCACCTTGCCTCTTTAAATCTGCTGCAATAGCTTTCATTCAGAGACTATTCTGAAAGTAAACAGCTTTCGCTGTGTTCTCTCCCTGAGTGCTCTTTGGGGTTGATTTACTAAAGGCAAATAGGCGGTTCAATTTGCAAGGGAATTTGAACTTTACAGGGGTAGTTTTTCCTTAATTTGGTGAATGAGGTGAAGCTCTGCTGACTTTCATCATTCAACCGCATGCATGCAAAAATGCTGTTTTGGTTATTTTTTCTTTTTGCATTTGCTTGGGTGTTGTATAAGTGAAATTTCACCACATTCACTAAGCTAAGGGAAACTCCCCCTGTAAAGTGCAAATTTAATATAAACAGCCTATTTGCCTTTAGTAAATTCACCCCCATGAATCCAGGGTCAAAGATGCAACCTGTAATAAATGTTTAGTTGTAAAATAAAGATTTGATATACATGAAAACAGATATAGAACATCAGTTTAAAACTTCTAGATTTAAACAAAATAATAATATTTAAAATAACATTTAATATATACTTTAATTTGTACATAATTTGTATCCACACTCTATGTACTTGTCCCCAGAAAAAATGTGATGGGTTACCAGTCCCATTGCTGGCAATATTTCCTTCAGCCTCCTGGCTCTGAGTACATCCTGCCATGCTCAGAAACAATTGCTCCTGGGAGGTGGATTGCTCATGCAGCTCACTGCACAGCAGATCTACTGTCTTAAAACAACACCCACTAGTGGAGGCCAGGAACAGCTTGTTTACAGAAAAGTTGAATGCTGACATTTTTAAGTACTACAGAGAGAAGTGCAAATTCATAAATGTTAAGTGAAAGTGCTGTTATAGTTTAAATGGGCACAAACTTTATCTTTTTATTAAATTAAAGCCAAATAAAATTGAATATCTTTGTATTTTCCTATGCTCACATCTGAATGTGTTTTTTTTCTTGCTACTGTTTGTATGTTTCTGAACACCGTAACATTATGCGTTTCTTTATTTAGCAGGTAAAAACTGTTAGATTTATGAATTTTAGTCCTCAAACCTTGAAACGCCAAAGTGTTGTATTTGATGTGAAAGATGAGGAAATTTCCAGCCAGAATATCATGTCTGAAAACTTGCGGCTTGGGGAATCCACCTTGACTGTACCACTACGACCCAATCCCGCCTTGGCCCATAAGACAGAAGGCCGGAAAATACAAAAGCTTAGGAGTATTGGCAACGATGTAACACCTATCCCTCCACAATCAACACTCTCTTTTCCCAAAAAACGGACCCACAATGATAATTCAAACAGGACCAGCGCAATCTATCAAGCTCAAGAGATCCCGTCAACTTAATGCTTCTGCTTTGATTTAACTTGGCCTGATTTTTTTTCCACCTTGGCACATTAAATTAGATTCTGTGTCTGAGAGTTTCACTATAATTTTCTCATCAATCCATTTTGTCACACTGGACAGACTTACCATGACAAACAAAGGATCACTGGCACCTTCAATTATGAATGTCTCTTTTAAATCCTCATTCTTATTATCAAGACAAGTCTGTGTCAGGCATGCTGTCATGCTCTTTGCTACATGAAGATATATAGTGGATATTTTTGACAAGCTGACTGGGTTATTTTTCGCTGTAGGAAATAGGGTCACTTACTCAACAAGGTGAAAGAATGAAAATAGTTAGATGTTCCTCTCCATTTAGATGACACATCTAAAGTTTTTTTGTTTTTTTTGTTGCCTGGCAAACTTGACTTTTTTGCTTTAATGTATTTTTTTATGCTTTTCAAAGATTTGCACTAATTTTAGAATGTAATTTCACTTTAATGCCAATTAGGTGTAGTGGCTTGTATATCAGCAATTAAATATAGGAAAAGGTAACTTCTTTTAAGTCCAAGCTTAGCTTAAAATATAAGAGCCAGCTATGCTCAAAACTAACTGTCAAAATGCATTTTTACAGAAAATTCCCCATCCCCTTTGTATAGGAATTATACGATGGACTGAAGTAGCTATAGAAGCCAGCTATGCTTACAACTAACATTGATAAAAATGCACTTATACAGAAGTATCTTTATCTTCAGTGTAAAGGACTCGCATGATCAACTGAATAAGCTATTACAGCAATCTATGCTTAAAACGAACACCAATAAAACACATTAATACAGAAGCATCTCCATTCTCTGTGTATAGCAATCACATAATGGATTAAACCTTTTATGTGGAGAGAACCACTGTTAATCATAATTATGCTAACCAGTTGACTATCACTACTGCCAACTCAGTACAGTTTTAAATGTCCATGTCTGTACAAGTAAAGACTTTAGGGAATTTTTCAATCTTGTAAAAACAACAAGACTGAGACTGAAGATGACTAGCCGACAGATACAAATAGTAGTGAATTTTACACTAAATCAATCACTAAAAATCCAATATCATTCTTAAAAAGTAAATATCATTTCTAAAGTTATTTGCAATATTTTTGAATCTGCAGCTATCTTCAAAAAGATGCTCACTGATCCTGCCATAAAAGACCTTGTTTGGGCACTTTCTGTAATAGGAATAGCAACAATCTGCCCCTGTCTCCCAATTGTGCTCCTGCATTGCCATCTTGTGACAGGGGCTTTAAATTGCTATCCGAACCCAATTTTAAAGGCATGTTCAAATGTTGTCATAGAAAACCCACCTTAAGAAATGTCATGCAGCCATCTCTTCAGTTCATGCATCATTCTTACCAACTGTCCCGGATTTGCCAGGCCAGTCCTACATTTTACTCAGTGGTCCCACAATGGCTGTGTCCCAGGCTGTGTTCAACAGGGTTGTTGCTAACCGTCCATTTTTTCAGGGGAATTATGTAAAAATTAAGCCAAAATATTCTGTCTGTGTTTATTCTGTAATTGCCCATGCCTGTTTCTGCCTGCCAGTAAAAACTCTGACTTTGGATGTTACAGTTTGCTGGCATATGTGCAGAAATCTGCCAGATGAGGTCCTAATGATCCCTGGGAAACTAAAAAACCAGAGGAGGTATTGTGAACCCTCCCTTGGCTCTGATTGGCTAATAGGCACTTTTAGCAAAGAGTGGGAGCAGGTTATTAATGTTCTGCTCAATTCAGTGGTGTATGGGGCTTTTCTGACAAGGTGAGCCAGCTCTTGGAGTCTCAAAGTGCTAGTTGCGGTAAAAGAGTGAGAACGGAAGCAGAGTGAAAGATCCCTTTAGTTTGTTACTCATGTTGGAAATATGATGTCAGTTACTAATCCTTGCTGAGCAGAGAGAGGGAGTGGTGGAACATAAACTCCATGCATTCTCCTCTACTAGCAGAAAACATAATTGATAAAAGGCACTAGCTGGCAGGGAAAAAGCAATGCATGGTAACTGTGTGTTCCGTCCCTTCCTCTACTCAGACAACCACCACGGTTTATTATGGAAGTAGCTTTCCTGCTAATGTATTCACAGAATTCACAGACAGAGACACTTACACTGCCAACTTAGTGGAGGTATTTACACTGACCATTATTATATTGGGAACAATGTTGGTCAGTAAAGAATCCTCGTGAGGAAAACCTGCTGGTGGATAATTATACAAGCAGGGCCGTTAAGTCACCCAGGAAACATGGGAGTCACCCAATATATTGAGGTGTCACCCAATATTTAGGGGTGGTCTCTTGGTCTCCCAGGATCTTTACTCAGTCCCCTGAACCCTCCAGAGCAGGGTTGTCAAGTCACACATGGGAGTCACCCCACATATATTAGGTGTCACCTGATATTTAGGGATGGTTTCTTGGTCTCCTGTCAGCTTTACTCAGTCTCCTGAAGCCTCCTGAGACTACCTTAACTGTCTAGATTACATTAACAGAATACCACATGTTATTGTTGGCTCTTAAAGTCAAAATTCTGCCATGCTGCTGTCCCACCACCTTCCCCTTTATCTCCTTCAACGTCTTTAACAAGATGTGTCAAATGTGTTTTGCAGTACAATTGCAGTCACTGAGGTCTGAACTATTGGGTTGCTGCACATTAAATAGACTGTACAGACTAACAGTTGTACCTAGCTAAACAAATCATTTAACAAAAGAACAATAACTTAATGGCTGTACTTCTGACTTTATTATGATACATCTTCCTGTATAAACATTATTTTAAAATAAATTGTACAATAGATGAACAATATTCCTTGTGTAGAACCATGCCTAATTAAATGAATGTCCTGCCCCTAATTAAAGTACATTCTCCACCTATAACAGATGGACACGCTGCAAAAAAAGGTGTCCCTGGAAATGTTTTTGAAATGTTGGCAACTATGCATGCATGTATACAGGAAGAAGCTGCAAAGAGACTATGATACAACAACAGCATTAAGATGCAATAAAAGGGTAAAAACAAGTATTTTATTTAAAAACAATGGCAATTGTTTGACACACAGTGCTTTTAGAAAACTAAATGTTATTCATTTAGGGTTTACATCTCATTTTATGCTTTTAAGTAGCCATGTTTAGAGCAAGCAATAATAAAGACAGATTGGTTTTGTAATCTGTAAGGTTCTATTTATTCTGGTGGTTAGAGTGGAAAAGTCCCAATAGTCTAACATTAAAGAGCAGTCTACTTTGTGTCTGTTTACCGAGTGTTTATTTTGTGTCACTGTACTTTTATGTTTAGTTTAGAATGCTTATTTTGCAGTGTTCAGTGTTTTTCAACTAGATTGACAAGCTGCTTTAAATGACATAGCTGGTTGGGAATACAGCCATGATTAAATAGAACTTGTTAGTAAAGAACTTTCCTGGCCATATCCATGGCAGCGCTGACCATTGGGTGTTAGCTCCAATTACCCCTAGATGACAGGAACCAAAAGGGTTAAACATGACCTAACCCTCTCCATAAAAGCCCCTCCTCCAGCCGGCTTCCCCAGTCTTTTTTGTTCCTGTCCCCCCTAGGACAGGGTTGTACTTGTGTACTAAAGCAAAGGAATATGAAGTCATGGAGTTCTGGATGGCCTCAGGGGAGTTCAGCCTCTCTCCCCTGGGAGGTTCCCAAGACTCGGCCCCGAGCAAGGGTGTCCCCTTGGGAACAAACAGCTTTCATTTTCGGTCTGAGGTATCCTCCTCATGAAAGCCATGTTTTTATATTAAGCCTGCAAAATGTTCAATATGCGGAGTGTTGCAGGGGCAAGGTAAGCCTGTGGGGGATAATCTTACCTATGTTCTGTGGCCCGACTCGTTTAGGCGGCTCCTCGCAGCGTTTTGCCCGTTCGGCTGTTTGCGGTGTAAGGGCAGAGCAGGATGGGCACTGGCAGCTTCCGAGCGCTTCTGCGCATGCGGGGAAGTCCGGTCTTTGGTGACGTCATCGGCGGACGATTTTCGGCGCCAAATTTGAATTATTTGCAGTGTAAAAGTGACAGAACTGGCTCAGGAGGTGTTTCCTGGTAGGCATATGCTTCTTGGAGAGCCTGGAGAGCCATCAAGTGCCAGAATCATGGATAACTGACCCTCACCAAACGAATCTGTGGAGTTGAGGTAAGGGATGA